GCCGTGGTGCGGAGGTGGAACCTATCTCCACTGCAGCTGGTGTAGGGATTTGGGCTGCTACCGCAGCCTGTATCCCTGACACCTGCAGCTCCATCACTGGTTCCCGGGATCCCAGGTGGGTAACGGTGTGTATCGGGCCGCTGAATGCTGGCAGGGGCGGCATTGGCGGTGGCCCTATGATGTTGTGCCTTGCCATCTCGGGGGCGTTAGTTCTCCCCGTGGCTGCTGTGGCGGTGGTCCCCCGCTGGGTTCTCGTGATGGCAGCCCATGTGCCATTTACTACCGTGCCAGCATTGCTTCGGCTGGGGCCTGACTCCGGAATCTGCGTCAATTTTGGCTGAGCCCCCTTGCATGCTGGCGGTAAACAGCCAGTTATAGCGGGGGCTGCCTCCAGCGCCAAGGGCACCTTGGTCGCGACCAGGGTCCCAGTGCAGTGGGTACTGTCCCCTGGCGTGCCATCCGTATACCCCTATGTATGTGGTTTATATGTGGTTTATATGGATATCGCCCGGGTGCCGCATATGTGGCGCTTGCACCTAAATATGAGTCTTAGGGTGTGTTTTTAATAATCCCGTGACCGGCGATTGGGTACGTCTGCATGCATGCCAGGATTGCCCGGGATGGGTTTTAGGGTTTGCAGGATTTCATGGAATCTGGTGCTTATACGTTCACACGCATGCACGCAGGTACCGCATTGGCATGGCATCGCCGCTGAAGGGATGGCCGAGCGACAGATGGGGCGTGTACGGCAACTTGACGGCAGCCAACTTCACACAGTATGATACCTTCAATCTGTCAATCCCTGCGGCTTACTTCAGGGATGATCACATGGTAAGACAAAATTTCAGGGATAAATATTTGCCCGTTAGACCCGCAAGTAACCCACTTGCTGAGAGGCAGTCACTGGTGCCTCTGTGCCATGTATGTATGTCAGCTGGGCTGGCTGATCCACATCGTCGTTGCACCACTACTGCCTTTACTTTGAAATCTTGTAAAACTTTCCGCGCGGTTATCATTATTTGAGGACAGTGTTTTATAGGTTTGAGAGTACGACCGTGGATTGAGTATTGTGCATGGTTTATTTGCGCGTTCGGCACACTCGTGTGCACGGCGGTTTGCTGGCCCCAATGCAGGTGGTGGTGGATCTGTCGCGATTGGATCCAAGCGCCAAAAAGGCCAATTGCCTTGACAAGCTTTTCATCAGCTATCGCGTTGCCAGCTCTGAGCCTACCGGGTACGACAGTGGCCTACCCCGCGCGAACAATGGCACCGTAGTCGTACACAGTTACGACGGCCTTCAGGATGAGGTATTGGCCAACAGCAAACGACCAACGTACCTGGCCAGCATTCCCCAAGGCGCTACCTGGTGGAGCTCCACATTCGACAAATACAAGGATGATGTAGGTGGCCGGCTAATGGTGAGGGTGCATTCGGCCAACTCGACTCACGCCCAAGTCGTCCTATGTCGCGCCCGGTATAGCAGGGAATACGACTGCAGCGATGGCCGTGATGATGACTGTGACGGCCAGCGGGACACGTGCGACACAGACTGTCCCGTGATCGCCAAGCGCCCTAGGGGCTGCATCCAGCAATGGTACGTGCGTGTTGTATGTGTGTGCATGTGTGTGTATGTGTGTGTATGTTTGTGCATGTGTGTGCATGTTTGTGCAAGTGGACATCTGCCTAGTTATTGGCGAGTCATGCACGTGCAGTAGACAGCGGATGGCCCTCCCAGGCGACGCATGAGACACACGGATTTCGCTGATGGCGACGGCATAATCGCTGACCTGCTTCATGCAGTCGTCATTGCAAAGGGGAATTGTCGGCCTGCCTTGCGTCTGCCTGCATTTCCGAACACGCAACTCACTCATGTGCATGTGCATGTGCATCGAGTGCTCAATATGGTGCATGCATGCCCCTGCATGACTTCCCCTCCTCTCATCCCGCATTTCGCCCACCAACCCTTATATGCGTTATCAGGCCAGCAGTACCGCCCCCCCAGGATGCCTGGATGGAAGTGGGTGTTCTTGATACAGCAGTCATCTAATGCAGGTACAGAAGGCATTGGTGATGCCGTCGCTAGGTATAGACCACGCACCATGCTGACTTTAGCTGCAGCCCGACATACAGCTGCATGCTGTATGTATACCGTAGCGGAACTAAAGATTTTACAAAATAAAGATTTTACCGCAAAATTATGGATTTTAATATATTTTACGGAACGAAGTATTTTACCGCATGCTGGCGGATTTTGCCAAGATTTTACGGTACTGTGGATGATTTCCTGGGATTTTACCGGCCCGCAAAGCTACCCAACCATGCAACACCACTGCCCGCCTCCCTCTCACGCATAAGGGGCTATGAGAATCATCACGACACGTCTCAAACTAAGAATCTCCGAATTGTAAACCCCCATCTGGAAGCCAAGCCACCGTGACACGGCCTCCAAACATTCACCATTCTGTAGCAGCCGCAGAATTCTTATGATTGATGAAAAACGCGAGAGCATTGCCGTATATGGTATGGTATGGCCGGCAGCTTGTCAATGAAGCGGTGTTTGGTGAGCTTGCGCTTGCCCATGCTGCTGCCAGGAATAGGTTGATATAGTGATATGTTACAATATTCTGTATAAAATAGTATAAGAGGTAGTGCCAAAAGCCTGTTGTGCGTGAAGGGCCATATGTATTTTACGGCATCGCTCCGAATTCCCTCCCGGGAACTAAAGATTTTACAGAAAGACTCTGAATTTTGCCAAAACATTTTACCGCATGCAAATAATTATTTATTTTGTAAAATCTTTAGTTCCGCTACGGTATATGTGTGTATGCCTTTTTTCCGTTTTTTTCCGTCTCTTCCCTTCCATCCGGTCATATGCCGCTGTACGTTGCCCTTCAGGCCATTCGCACCGCCCCCTGGCAACGGCGTATGGGAGCTTGCAGCCTGCAGCTATTCATGATCGCCGCCAGCTGCTTCTGGTGACCATGCTGCTCCTGGTGTGCAAAAAACATAGTGCTCATCGATCAATTCGGTGCTGATGCAACATGGCACATTAGTAGGGGTGGCGTGAATACAGCCACCCTTTGTATGTGAAGCTACCTTTCGTTCTCGAAACACCGGTGGTGCCTATGTATATATCTCTTGAGGCGGGACGCGTTAATGTACTGTCCCGCCCGCCGTATGCGGTCACTCGCACGGAACAAGCTAGCCAGCTTGCCAACTAGCCTTTCCCTATGACTGTCAGCTGAGTGCGTGCGTTTTCTTTCAAGATAGCTATCCGGCTTTGGAAATATGCACGGCCGAATTCGCAATATTCATCCATTTTAAAGCCGCAGGTAAAAAGCAGTCGTGCAGGCGCCGGCCGTCCATGCGGGTGCATGCGAGGGTCGTGCATGCATGCATGCAGGCGTGCATGTTGTCGCGGGCCGTGTTCCACAGGCACATGTGTGTGTGTGCGGTAGGAGTAGTGCTTCTCCTTGATCGTCACTGGTGCAGTGCCTCGTAGCGTAATGTGATGCGTGGTGGCTGGTATGGCTGTGATGTAGGTAGGCAAGGAGAGGCGGTAGGGATCCTTCATCCGGATTCATTCCTGCATGTGCGCGTGGTGCATTTGCTCTATTGCTTTATGGGCCGTTTGCTTACATTATCATCTAGGGTACCTGTCAACACGACCGCGGGCAAACAGGCTGTTTGCTGAGCGTCTGCACGTTGCGTGTAGGAAGCGAGGCACCGCACCAACCGTCTGCCCAGCCCTGATCCTCGGATAGCACACATTCTGGTTAACGACGAAAACTGCTTATGCATCATCATCACCGTCATGTGCATCGTTCGTGTGTTGCCTACAAAACTCAAGTATGACCAGTATATGCTCTTGCGCACAGTCTTAAGTTTAGTTAGTGACGGTTAGCAGAAACAACTGAACGTGTGTGTATTTATGCATGCATGCATGAATGTGCCTCCGGTTTTATTTACCTACCTACGTACCTACCTGCCTATCTACATACGTACATACTGCAAGATGGCAAGCAAGTCTATGACTGGTGTGATATGTGCGCTCTTCAGGCAGTCTTACTGGTGGTCTGGATGGATGTGTGCATTTCTCTTTCTCTCTCTCTCTCTTCCCCCCTTCTCTCTCTTTCTCTCCTCCCTCTAGCGATGAGAAGGTTGCCGCCATAGTTTGTTTGCTAAGCTTGCTTCAGCGCCCGCCCGCAACGATGGGTACCACGTCCCGAACGTGAGGAGATCCCCCTGCATATGACGCATTTAGCTCTGAAGTCGCAAAGCCGAACTCATTTAGACCTGGATGCTGTTGCTGTAGCAGCGGCGGAAGCCGAGGCGGTGACTGTTGATTGACCAGGGGTTCCCGCATAATTGTTGATGTTGACGACGACGGTTTGGCCCGGTGCTGGCGGTGGAGGGGGAGGCGGTCCCCCGCCGCCGCCGCCGCCACCGCAGTTCTTCCTGCATCCCTTCTGCTGGCCCATGCCACCGCCGCCTCCACCGTTGCCTTGCATGTTGGTCGTCGAGGTGACGACAGTAGTGCTGGTGCCCTTCGAAGACGTCCGTGTGGATGTGAACTGGCATTTTGCCTGTTTTGTTTTGATTGTTCGAGGGAAAAAGTTTTAAAGCCCGGGAGTCCATTATTTATATGCGAGCGAGGCATAGGTATACACGTGCACATGCGCTCGTAGGAAATGCGAATTACGAATAGAAGGCTGGATTAGCGGATGCGCAGGCGGCTGTACGCCGTCCAATCCCAAATCTCAGATGTGGCGGGACTTTTCCAAAGGCAATCATGTGATACACGCATCTGGGGGTTCGGCGGTGATGTTCTTACTAACAACACACGAGAAATTACCTTTCCTATTCCTACTCCAAGTGAGCGTGGATAGCCACGCCGGGCGGACGGGCAGCAGACCATAACGTGCACTACTTACTACGACACACATGTACAGCATAGGGCTGTACTACAAGGTCATACAAGGGTTGGAGCCGACTTGCTCCCCTTCGTTTTCGTTACCCGAAGGGGAAGACGAAGGGGAAAAACCGAGGGCGGGGAGAGTATTTGGCTCATTCAAGATGAAACGCGCGAGCTTTCGAGGTGCGTGACCATTCCTAGGCCTTTTCCTTTCTAGGATGCTAAGTCCGTCCTCTTTCATCCATGTTGTAATATTACAACGCATGCCTCACGCATTCCTGCTGTTACTTATTCGCATAACCACTCGAGCTCGTAAATGCATTATTAATATTATTACTATTGTTATTATTATTATTACTATTATTTTATTATTATTATTATAGTTATTATTATTATTATTATTATTATTATTATTGTTATTATTATTATTATCGTCATCGCCGACAGCGCATGTAGGCACGCAGTTGGGCCTGGACGAACTACGAACGGACATATACGCGGGAGGACGCGCTCTTATCGTCTATCATGTGCGAAGGTTGCTTATCAACCACCACATAACCACCATATGGACGAACGCACACGTTCAATCTTTCCTTTTCCACGCAAGTTCTCCTGATATACATTATCGGCCCGATGGGCCTGCCCTGATTGGGTATTGCTTTGGGGTCTGGGCCTCGGTGTTATACCTACTACTACTGTGCATTTTACGTACAGTGTATGGTGTCTGTACCATATTACTGACATGAATAGAGTTAATCATTGAAGTATGATGTGTGGGACAGGGGGGTCTTACCTTCACCCTGCGGCTGCTACTCGGCAGACCCTGTCTTCCCAGGTATTTCGGGACACCCTCATCCAATCACCCTAGCCAACTTCTCAGTGGATCACTCAGGTTCCGCACCCACCACCTGCATCCAACGGAGTCTGCCTGCTCTTAACGACAGCGGCTAACCTCCATACCTCATCAGCTCGCAAGTTAACTTCCCAGGTCACCCACCAGGTCACCACCGTCCATCAACTAGGGGCACTTTCACCTTCTACCATCGGAAGGATTTTTCGACCTTGACAGGTCTCGATCCCGGAACCTCCGGGGGGATCGGTGTGTGCTTTACCAGTAGTGCCTGACCTAGTGAAGTATGTACATAGGTCGGAAGCCCGCCCGTCACTTACCCCTGGCTGCTGGCAGGGGCCCCAATGAAGCCGTCGGGATGCGGCAGCAGCAGGGGATGACCGCTGCTCCCGTAACAGGGTAACCTCCGGGAGCACGTCCTCCGAGAGCGGATGGCTTATCATGGCTTGCAAGGGCTTGGAAGCCGCCGCCTGGTAACTCTCCACGTCAGCACGCTGCAACAGCAGGTCGCCATCATACAGCGATCCCCCGGCGGAGCTTCCGCCGTGTGGTGGCGGCATGTTGCCTGTATAGGAAATTACAGGGAAAACACTTAAATAATTAGAGGGACAAGAAAAGCAGATTAAGATAGAGTAAATGTTTCATCATCCATGGATGCTGTTCATGCGTGCTTCACGCGCGGCCGCGGATAAGATTCGGATGATGCAGGACGGCGGTGCCTGATAGGATGATGCATGGTGAGCAGACACGCTTACCGTACATGGCATGGAAAAAAATACTTCTCCGCCGCGCATTGCCGCAATTTTCCGCAATCCAGTAGTAGCACAAAATGTTATATGCTGTCACACAAATAACCTGCCAACACCTACCATATTCGCCGTCCTCCTCCTCCTCCAGGGGTAACAACGGCGGTGGTGTCGGCCTCATGAACACCAAACCAGCCTCCTCCGCCGCCGCCTCCGCCGCCTCCGCCGCAGCCGTGCTTGGAAGACATAGAAGCAGGGCTGTTAATACCGCTGACGCACTCAGCAAAAATAGCATTGAAGGCGCGGAGACCAATTTTCGCTCTCGCTGTTTCGCACCGCCGATGCACATGTTGCCAAAGCCAAAGACGCCCGCTCCGGTCGAAGGTCTCGGAAGTATTAATTAGTAAGGGGCGCTGCTGACTGCCGCTGCTGCTGCTGCTGCTGACTTGGACCGGTAAACAAGCACAAGGAAAGAGATGGCAATCATCAGCCCCCAGGGTCCACACTTAGTGCGAGCTTCGCATGTTATTTTTCTCGTACTATTAATGTGCTCGGTTAGACAGCACCAAGCGCTGGGGCATACGTACAGCTAGATGACACAATCACCACCGCCTATAGCATTCCAGGGTACTGGTACGTCATCACCGACGCTGGCAAAAGGTTCCCCCTAGCTGTCGCAAGAAGCAACATTTTTCTATATGGTGCAGCTTGTGCGTGCTTCCCACACTTCGCTATGGGTTGCGAACCCAGCGCTCAGCTCGAGCTCCATATGACCCATGGGTCGAACGGAAGACAGGCGCTAGGCGTACCTCGCTCGCACTTATTACATCTCGCTTACCTGCAAGGCAAGCGTCTTTTCGTAGTGGCAGTACGGGTTGTTGCGTGTTCGACTTCTCAATACCCGGCTGCGATGCTCGCGCGCCCGCTCATGCAAGTAAAGTGGCGAGCACGTTTCAACTGGTATCAAGAGAAACTAAGCACGTGGATAATATGGCACCTTCCGCCCTAAAACCACTACTTCTACTCCTACAACGCAAGCTTGCCGTCATGCGGTGTGCGCAGGCATCTTGGGCGACGCTTTGGATCTAACCGCAGATAGCCTTTGGTTCCAGCAGGCACTAGAACTGCTGGCCTTTGGATACAGCCTCGGATCTAGGTATACCACATGAGCTTGGCTTTGGATACAAATTAAATGGAGCGAACATGAAGCAGCGATAACCACGCGGAGAAAAAGAGACCTCAGAAGAATTGTAGATTCTTTGACTATTAGGTTTACTATTCTTATTAATTATGTAAAATCAACCTATTGTTTTATATTTACTAAGTTCACTGCTCTTTGTTGTTCTAATATGCGCATAGGGTGTACTAACTGTTGTCTGCCGAAAGGGCTGTTAAGGGTAGGGTTTGTCAGTTTCCTATACTTCGGGAGTGCGTGGATAATAATAATGGTCGCCCGATCTAAGAAGTGATGAAGTATCTGACACATGCATGTGCCGAGGTATACATAGCGTGATGCGAATTTAACGACGCAACCCGCCGCGCCCTAATCGCGCATCACTCTTCGTGAGTCTGGAGCCCACTGTAATAACCACTCACACACACGCACACTCATAAAGCAGGAGATGTTGCAATAAAGATTTCAACCTTAAGCGTGATAACAATGAGTACAGTTTATCAGTAATGCTATAGCATTACTGATATAGCTAATAATTATGCCATGCATTAGCCTCCAGGCTACGTGTGCCTACCTATTTTCGCCCTGCAAAGCACTTAATCGCATTTTCACTAAAGCACAACTTGGAGCGGACAATGAAGTCTACTTCCTGCGTTCGGATTGCATTTCGGCTGGTTGGGTTGGATGTTTTACGGTCAACGATGCCGGTTGGCCTGCCATTTCGCGCTATAGGTGTCTTCAGCAGTAAGTCATTATTTCAATCAATTTAAATATGCGCGCGGATGCATACTGCTGCTGATGCATGCCGATGCGAGTGCATGCGTATGTACGTATGTGTGCGTGTGCACGTGTGCACATGCATTAGCATGCGTGCAGATGCGCGGAGATAGATGCGTGCCGCTACATTTCCATGCATGCGTGGTGAGGCCTGCTGATGTCTGCTGATGCGTGCGCATGCACGCATACATACATGTGCATTGCAGTATTAGTTGGCCGCTGAAAGGACCTCTTAAGATGCTGGCAGAGCGCCTTATGAGCGCGCCTGTATTATTTATTTGTAGACGATGCATATATGCGCCGTACAATAAGGCAGCTGCTACAGCACGTGTGTGTATGCACTCTGAGAAGCGAATGACAACATCACTACTGCTCCAAATAGCTGTACCCAGCATCTAATGATGGTGTTATATTAAAATTTAGGGAGGTGCATGGGAACGGTCATAGATTAGCCTTGCAAATGGAACTTCCTTAAGCTAGCTGCGCCAGCTTGCCACTCACGCAAGTGGCCCCGCCGATAGATGGCGCAATGGGCGGATTCAGGTCCTCCAGCAGGGGCTCAAATGACGGCTTCTCTCTCCAGCTTGCCCATTATTGGTGCGTGGTGAAGCAGTAGCTAATGAAGCAAAGGTGGAGGGTCACTGAAGGGATATCCGAATAGCAAAAAAGAGGCAGATTCCCCGAGTGCGCCAGCAACCTGCCCGTTAATAATATCGTCACCTGCCGGGGGCCTTCATAGCACGTGGTGGTGGGCGTGGTTCATTTATGGAGAGGGCTTTGTTTTGGACTAAAGGGGCGTTCAGACCGTTCAGCGTGAGTGTTTGGTCACGAGGCTGAAGGAAGGCCAGGGTCTCGACCACGATGGGCGACTTAACGAGAGAAGCAAGAAGCGATACGAGAATCTGAGTTCGAAGACATGCAAAGAGAACGGTGATAGCAAGGTCTTGAACCCTGAACCACAAGTGTTGTGATACGAAAGTCTTTGGACGAAGCATTTCAGCTGGGTGGCTTATATGCGGCCCACCTGCCGCCATTTCCATTCCTGGAGTCATGCTGAAGTGTGAAGATCGTACGCTACGTTGTGATAGCATAACAGAAAGTGAGTTCGTACAGTTAACGAGTGCGGTTCGTAATTTCAGTACCGTACCGCTACTGTGATTAAGCTTTAATAGCCTAGTATATTCTTTAATAGCCTAGTATATTCTTTAATAGCCTAATATATTCTTTAATAGCCAAATATATTATAAGGTAAATGTAGCTTTAATACATCATTCCTGGATTTGGGTTGTGGAATGAAGGGTCAAAATGAAGGGCCGGAATGAATGTGAATCGAATATGAAATGAAGGCTCCTGGCTCCCAGAGTGTGCTGAACGCATATGTAATAATGCAATGACGGCGATGCATGATGAGTGATGAGTGATGATACGTCACACTGTTATACCAGGACTTTAGAAATGTTATACCAATCGACCCGGGATACGACAATTATCCCTCCCTCTAATTGTAGAGGGTGTCCTCACTCATAGCCTATTGTCTCTGCATGCTGCCTGCACCCGCAGGATAACCAGCGCTAGCGGGCCTGTCACCTCCCGCTCAAAAAAACCTGCTATAGCTAAGTATCGAACCCATGCCGCAACGGAGACATCTACTCGATATCATTTAACACATCACAATTACAGAAGAGTACCGAGCGGCGGATGCAAATGCTACAAATTCTGCAAATTCTAGATCTGTGATATGCCCAGGATACATACATACATACATACACGCACGCACATTCCGATCGCCGCACCTAGAGAGCACTGCAGTACGTACCACGCGCGACAGCAGTACCTACGTGCACAGCAGTACCTACGTGCACAGCAGTAAATGTTTACAACACGACATACATACGTTCGCCATCTCGCATACTGCTGCTGCACGCAAGCATGATGCAGATACCTCACCATCACGTACCCGCCGCAGATTGTATCCGAGAGCTCAATAATTACTGATGCTAAATGGCTAAATACATGCTAAATCAGCTAAATATCCGGTTAGCAGTCATCGCTGGATCCACTCACAGCGCACGGATCGATGGAGAAGTAAAACGACAGCTACTAGCGACATTATCGCCAGTGTATTGGTACTGCTGACTTCACACCAACTAACCAAACACACTGAGCACATAACCTAGATCTTATTAACAATCTTTAGACAATCCTCACATCCCCAGCACAAACTAACGTACCCTGATGACTCACATGCACACAACCATGCACATACATACGTGCACACAGCCGCCAGCTTTTTGCATCCAACGTGCAGATACATATAGTATATACACATGCATTCAGCAACAGCCATTGGAACCTTCACGATGGATAGAAATGAAGCTGCATGAATATTAGAACATATACACATGCATGCATGCATGCATGCATAAGCGCACACAATAACGCACCAGTTCTGTCCTAGCCGAAGAAAGATAAATAGTCGCATAGATAGATACAGCAGGCGGCTGTATGTCGGGTTGCAGAAGAAAGCAGCGGGGTGCGCGTTCTACCTTAGATAGATCGCAAGCTTGGTAGCTACTCGCAAGGTCCAGGCGGCATCACCGGTGCCTGTGGTACCGTGTCGTTTCCTTTCACAACGGCACCCACTTCCATCCAGGCATCCTTGGGGGCCGGTACTGCTGGCCTGATAACGCATATAAGGGTTGGTGGGCGAAACGTGGGCGAAATGATCGCAAGCTTGGTAGCTACTCGCAAGGTCCAGGCGGCATCACCGGTGCCTGTGGTACCGTGTCGTTTCCTTTCACAACGGCACCCACTTCCATCCAGGCATCCTTGGGGGGCGGTACTGCTGGCCTGATAACGCATATAAGGGTTGGTGGGCGAAACGTGGGCGAAATGCGGGATGAGAGGAGGGGAAGTTATGCAGGGGCATGCATGCACCATATTGAGCACATGCACATGCACATGCACATGCACATGCACATGCACATGCACATGCACATGCACATGCACATGCACATGCACATGCACATGCACATGCACATGCACATGCACATGCACATGCACATGAGTGAGTTGCGTGTTCGGAAATGCAGACAGACACAAGGCAGGCAGACAATTCCCCTTTGCAATGACGACTGCATGAAGCAGGTCAACGATTACGCCGTCGCCATCACTGAAGTCAATGCGTCTCATGCGTCGCCCTGGAGGGCCATCCGCTCTCTACTGCACGTGCATGACCCGCCAATAACTAGGCAGATATGCACTTGCACACGCATACACATGCATACAACACGCACGTACCATTGCTGGACGCAGCCCCTAGCTGGGCGCTTGCCGATAACGGGACAGTCTGTGTCGCACTTGTCCCGCTGACCGTCACAGTCATCATCACGGCCATCGCTGCAGTCGTATTCCCTGCTATACCGGGCGCGACATAGGGCGACTTGGGCGTGAGTCGAGTTGGCCGAATGCACCCTCACCATTAGCCGGCCACCTACATCATCCTTGTATTTGTCAAATGTGGAGCTCCACCAGGTAGCGCCTTGGGGAATGCTGGCCAGGTACGTTGGTCGTTTACCGTTGGACCATACCTCATCCTGAAGGCCGTCGTAACTGTGTACGACTACGGTGCCATTGTTCGCGCGGGGTAGGCCACTGTCGTACCCGGTAGGCTCAGAGCTGGCAACGCGATAGCTGATGAAAAGCTTGTCAAGGCAATTGGCCTTTTTGCCATTTGGTTCCAATCGCGACAGATCCACCACCACCTGCATCGGGGCCAGCAAACCGCCGTGCACACGAGTGTGCCGAAGGCGCAAATAAACCATGCAAAATGGCTCAATCCACGGTCGTACTCTCAAGCCGAAACACTGTTCTCAAATAATGATAACCGCGCGGAGAGTTTACAAGATTTAAAAGGCAGAAGTGGTGCGACGACGAGGCATGGACCAGCCAGCCCAGCTGACATACATACATGGCACAGAGGCTGCTGACGCACCTGCATGGAACCAGATAAACAGCACGGATCGATAGATACAAGTGCGTGTGTGCAACTTTGCTATGACTGCTGACCTAGCATCCGTCCTGTGCAGCATTGTTACAATGCAACACTTGAAAAACCCTAAGAACCAGGACAGTTAATAGCTGTTAAGGACTGAGGGTCACCGAAACCGGAAGGTTAGTTTGGGCAGCAAGTGCGAATGTCACTGAGACCGTGTTGGGCCGGTTGGCTGCCGCTCTTCCGGGAGTGGGGTACCGGCGGGTTTTCAAAAGGTAAACATTTTGATCCTATTATAAATCGCTGATTTATTGTCTTACCATGTGATCATCCCTTAAGTAAGCCGCAGGGATTGACAGATTGAAGGTATCATACTGTGTGAAGTTGGCTGCCGTCAAGTTGCCGTACACGCCCCCTCTGTCGCTCGGCCATCCCTTCAGCGTCGACGCCATTCCAATGCGGTACCTGCGTGCATGCGTGTGAACGTATAATGGCACCATATTCCATGAAATCCTGCAAACCCTAAAACCCATCCCGGGCAATCCTGGCATGCGTGCGGACGTACCCAATCGCCGGTCACGGGATTATTAAAAACACACCCTAAGACTCATATTTGCGTGCAAGCGCCACCGAATGGACTCGGATGGTGGGGGAAGAATTCTACGCAATATATCCTAAGCAACATATAATATGTGTACGGCGACCGCATCCTGGTGTTTATTAGTTCATAAGTGGTTGGGTAGCTGGACAACTGATGAGGTGCGATTTGGCCCCTGTATTTCCATACCCCTCCCTTAGCACAATGGCAGAGTGGAGAGGATAAATTCATCAAACTTCGTTAAGACGGTTAAGCGAGTATACGTAGCCATCAGCTTAGGGTTCACGGAATGGAACTAATCGGCAGTTTATAGCACACCAAGGATGTCAATTAAGTGTTAGCACGATAATTTATCTATTTGCGTTTACGGTTAGCATGAGACATACAGACATACAGACATTCAATTGCTGAAGGAACTGAAGGATCCGTTTTCAACTCGGAAATTATAACCCTTGGGCCTTCGGCTCGTAGGGGCGTGTAGTTCTGCAGGTATTGGGGTCACGCAACCCCAACCATGTGGCACACACACACACACACACAACTCGGGAAACTTTAAGCACATAACATGACCACTTACAAATGAGGTGCATTGGGACATAGCAGGCCTTGGATACCTTCAAATCTTCCCATCACATCTGTTGGGTCGCCGTACAGGTCGTACGGCCTATACGGGGTAAACGCACGCAATAGCAAGTCAGAAAGAGCTCGATATGTCGATAGGAAGAAAAACGGACAAATTACTGAAAAGTATGCAAACATGCATGCTGACGAACAGGCAGACAGACAGGTAGACAAACAGACAGGCTGCAAGGCAGGCACACAGCATGCAGCAGCCGGGACAGGACATAAAAAGTACATGAACAACCAGGAAGCTCTTTGTTATACACGCAGTTGGGCGACACATGCACACATGTGACCTACGTTTGAGCATGTTCCAGCCCAAAGATGTGCATGGACTCGTGCATGATGATTTGTAAATCTGTGGCGCCTAGCGTGTCGTACGTTGAGGACCTGAGGAAACTGCAAAATTAAAGCAGGCAGGCAGGCAGGCAGGCAGGCAGGCAGGTAGGTAGGCAGTTAGGTAGGCAGGTAGATCCGTCCACTCTCGTCTATCCCATCCTTAACTCGGAACCATTCAAGCAATATTAAGATAGAGACAGTAATAGTACTAGTAGTAGTACTTGTAGTACTACTACCAGTGCTTCAAGTAGTAATAAGCTAGTACTCCTACTTATACTAATACCAGTAGTAGTAGTAGTACGAGTACTAGTATTAGTATTAGTTAGTAATGGTAATCGTAGGTATTCGAGCGAGCCCTAGAGCCCAAGGGAATAACCCAATTTGTGTGCGTGCGTGTGTTGAAGTGCACCTGTGAAACACATGTCTCATCTACAGCACACACAAGCACACCTTAAACTTGCTTACGCGGAGCAGACGTAGGATGTACAGGTCACATCCGCCCAGCCGGACCACGCGCACGGTACATTAGGAGGTAAGATGTACAGATGCCGTCGGCGCGGAATAAGCTGGAGGGCGTCATCCAACCTTTTGTTGTTAGCGGCCTTGGCATACTACGCACAGAGGGAACGTCGGTACGTCATTGATTGCCCACGGAATGTATGAATGTATGAATGTATGATGAATGTATGAATGTATGAATGTATGAATGTATGAATGTATGAATGTATGAATGTATGAATGTATGATGTGTGAAACAGAGGGGGTGTATCTTCGCCCGTGGCAGCTACCCTGCGAAACCCTGCCTTCCCCGGTATTTCGGGGCACCCTCATCCAGTCACCCTAGTCAACTTATCAGTGGATCGCTCAGGTTCCGCACCCACCACCAGCATCCAACGGAATCTGCCGAATCAACGGCGGCCCAACTCCGTTCCTGGTCGGCTCGCGGGTTACCTTTATCCCAGGTCATCACCGTCCATCAAGTAGGGGCGCAATGCCTTCCACCATCGGAAGGTCTTCTGACCCTAATGGGTATTGATCCCGGGATCTCCCGGGGGCATTGGTCGCGCCTTACCAGTAGTGCCAAACCCTAGTGTGAATGCATGAATGTATGAAAATATGAATGTATGAATGTATGACGTTGATTTCACTGTGGGCTGAAAAGCCGGGGGCCCAGGGCCGAAACACAGCGCGGGGGGCGGGTGCATACGGCTGGTTAGTCTCATGCACTCCGCCCCCGGGTCAGGCCGCACGGGAAACGACGGCCGGCACGCAACAGCGCTCGTTTGGCGCTCCAACTAGACGGCATCTATGCCCGCTGGTCTCCTAACATAAACGAAGTCGCAACTGGGGGGCTCTTCCTGCCGACCGAACGAACCGAGCATCTCAGAGAGATCGCAACCAGGACCTGGGCGACCGGGAGCCCGACGAGTCATCCCGGGCTGGGGAGGTCACCAAGCTCAAAAATCCTCACGCAAAAAAGAGCGCAAAGAGCTCACACCACAAGACGCCAAACAGCCTCTTGAGACTACTATCCTTCTCCGCCTCTCCCTCCCTGGGCTAGTCCAGGGGAGATAGCACCCGTCGGGGGGATAACTCCGCACAAGTCCGCGCCCTTCCACAGCACTGGGTCTAACTTGAAAAGTACTCGAGCGGGAAAACCCTGCAGCGACGCCGGGCGATCAAGCCTCCGAAAACCACAGGGGGGGAGGGTAGCCAGCTCGGTATGTATGTATATATGTATGTATGACTTAGTTTACACTGTGGGCCGCGAGAGTCGGGGGCCGAAGCCGAAACACAGCGCAAGGGTCGGGAGCACACGGCCGGTTAGTCTCATGCACTCCGCCCCCAGGTCAAGCCTCACGGGAAACGACGGCCGGGACACATCAGCGCTCCCCTCCGGGGTTTAGCTGCTGCTCCTGCTGCTGCTGTTGCTGTTGCCGTCCCGGTCCCGCGCTGGGCTCCTGCGTGTGACCCTCGAGTACCGGCGCGTTCAGTGACGGCCCCTCGTCCAGTCGTGCTCCGTTGGCCAGGTGGAAGAAGTCCGTTATCTGCCGCTGTTGGGGCCCTTGCCCCTGGATCTGTTGCGCTTCCGCTGGCTGTTGTATGGCGGGGTTAGCCGCCCTTTCCAGCCGCCTTCCGGCTGCTCGCAGGCAGCACCTGCCTACCTCCATAGAAGACAGGGCCGCCAGGGCGATCACATCCCAGGGGGCCTGTTTGCAGCCTCTCAGGGCCTGGACCAACCACAGTTGCTTCCAGGTGATGCGGCCTGTTGCGGCCTCCTGGGAGGGCTGTATGTGTCGGTCAATTTGCTCCCGGACAGCTTGTGCGACGGGGCACTCACAGAAGTGTTGCATGCGTGGGGAGCATTGGTGGTTGCTGGCATTGCCGAGCCTTCCGCACCCACACCGCTCGGGCACCATGCGAGCCAGGTGTGTGTTGCCGGGCAGGGGGATGCCGTCCACGGCAAGCCGCCACAGCCTTTCTTTGGTCTCGTTCTCCCACCGCACCCAAGACCACAAGCTTGCTTGCGTCGCCCTGAAGCGGCTAGTTTCCGCTGAGGATGAAGGTGCCTTTTTCTGCGGGTCCAACGCTTCTTGCTCAAATGCTGCCATTAAGCGTCCCCGTTTCTCCGCCGTGGCCCCGCATTGCAGCTGTGTAGCTAGGCGGGCGTGAGCAGGATGATTGTTGTGCTGCCCGGGATCTGCCACCCCACCCGCTTTAGGATCATAGCAATCGCCTGAGCGCTGTTGGGGTTGTGTGGAGCCACCGTGTCCCCTGGCGTTGGCATCTCTGGCTGCTGCTGCTGTGGCTGCAGCTGCTGCTGTGTCTGCGGCTGCTGCTGTGGCTGCAGCTGCTGCTGTGGCTGCAGCTGCGGCTGCTGCTGTGGCTGCGGCTGGAGTTGCTGTTGCTGTCGGGTTTCCACCGCTCTTGCAGCTTCAAGCCACGCCGGGTTGATAGCGCCATGTAGCGTCTTAAGTGCTGCCAGTGTCGCGGACATGTGTTGTCCCGCGTGGGTGCTGGGGTTGACGGGTCGAGGTGTGTCCTGACCCACTCGGGCCATGGAACCTGGGGAGTGAGGCTGCTTGGGTGCTCACCACTTAGGGTCCCAGACGCGTACTAGGTCGCCCACCGTTTGCAGTTTCCCGCACGTAGCGATCCCCTCAAAGTGCACCTCCAGGCCCGGGAGGTGGTTCAAGTTGTCTGGGTCTGCCACGTCGGTATTGGGGAGCAGCGGGTTACCCCACAGTGCAGCTGCCCAGCACCAATTTCCAGGGGGCATGGGGGTGGTCTCGATATCCCGGAGCGGTGGTAGGTGTCCCAGGGCACCCACAATCCGGCTGATATCCACGGGTAGATCGCTTCCGCCGAGCCGGGCCCCGGCAGGGCTGGCGGTCGTCAGGGCCCACGGTTGGAAGGCGGGGTGTCTGAGCAGCAAGTAGGCGGAGAGCATCCGGACCCAGGGTTGGAGGCCGCCATCTGCCCTCCCATGCCCCGCGGTACCACCCGCGGTTCCTGCAGTTCCTCCTGTCCCTCGCCCACATGACGCGTTAGATAGCCCGAGGGCGGCTACGATGAAGCGTACAGCCCATACCGCATGCCGAGCCTGGATGTGCTGCTGTAGGGACAGCAGGCCAAAACCTCCCGCCGACGGGTGGCCGGTCAGGAGATCCTTAGGCACCCTTGTTAAGCGTCGGCCGGGGTCATCTGGGCCCTGCTGCCGGTCGACTAGGCGGGCCGTTAGGAGCTCTATCTCTTGCAGCGTGCGGTTGGGGGCCGGCCTGCCTGCTCCGTGTGCCCGGTGACTGTCTGCAGGCCGTACACTGATGCCGCTATGGCGCGACCGAATGCTGATAGCGGGAAGCGGGAGAGTCAGCCGCTGCAGTTGCCGCTTGGCTTCCCCGAGTCTCTTCATCCAGTCGGGCTGTGGCGGGGATGGCTGGTTGTCAATTGGGCGGTGGCGGTGGTCACCACCTTGAGGCTTACACTTGACTCCTGCTGAGGGGCAGCTGCTTGGGGTCCGGCCTGGGTTGCAGGCTGCACCTGCTGCTGATTTGATTGGCCAATCCACAGCAGCTCCACTTTGTCGAGGTTTAGGCGCTGGCCGGATGCCCGAGCAAAGGTGTCCATGGCCTGGAGGAACGAGGGTACTGATTCTTCGCCATGCAGCGCCATTTCCGTGTCATCTGCATATTGACACGCGGTGACCGGTTGTGAGTCGGCCGGCTGTAAATTGATCCCCACGTCTTGGCTCCGGAGCCAGCATTGTAGGGCCTGGGCGACGAAGAGGTTGCGCAAGGGCAAAAACGCGAGGGGGCAACCTTGCCGCACCCATTCACCATACTCGGGCCCGCGTTTCGCTCAGCAACAGCCGTACCCAGGCGCAGAGATGTGGCCCTGCACCGATGGTCTCCATCGCTGCCAGGAGGAACCCACGATCCACCTTGGCGAAGTCCAGGAATGCCAGGAGCCCCTTGCGGTTCTGCTTGCGAAGGAGGTGGGACAGGTGGCGCAGGAATAGCACACTGACTCCAATGAAGCGCTTGGGTAGGAAGGCTGATTGCTCGGGGGTTATGACTTGGCCCAGGCTGGGGCCTAGGCGGTTTGCCAGCACTTTGGTGAGCAGCCAGTAGTCCGAGCAGAGCAGCGTGATAGGACGGTAGTTGCCAGGGAGCTTTGGGGTCGCCTTTCTTGTAGAGCACCGTCAGTGTACCCCCTCCAAGAAGCCCTTCGGCACCTGCCCCGTCGAGCCTATGGCGGTGAGCAGGCCAGCCATGGTGGTGCCAATGGCCGACCAGAATTTCCTGTAAATGTCGGCTGGGATGCCGTCCCACCCCGGGGCCTTGCCAGGTGCGCTTTTCTTAAGTGCCTTTCGTAAGTCGGTGGCCGTGATAGTTCTGGATCCCAGCTGTTCATCTGCCTCTGCGGGTAGCGAAATGTTGGCGGCCGCCAGGGAGCCTAGCACCTCCTGCTGGGCTTGGGGGCAGATGTGGTTGGGAGCTCGGCT